AGCTTATCGTCTGTTACCCTGTCCTCGAGAGCTGTCAGGTCTCCTGTGAAATCTCCATCAGCCCCCTGGGGCTGCCACACTGCCGGTGCAGATCAGAGGATGCAGGGAGGGGGGTGGCAGTGGCCTCTCGTCCTGCTGGAGCCCACTCCCGCCTGAACCTGGGCCTCAAAGAGGAGAAGACGGGCCGCTCCCACTCCCCAAGCTCTTGCCACACAGGCACAGCACCGAGCTCTCTCCAGGCCCGAGCTCACTGCCCACTCCCTCGGGCACGTGCTCTGTTACTGCCCCATTTTACAGATGAGGGAGGCTCCTAGGTCAAGGGCTCGTGGTGAGTGAGGGACAGGCCCTGAGTTTGAATCCTCAAGGCTCCAAGTATATGCCTTTGATTTCCATGCCCCACTAAAACTCCTGCAGACTGGGAGCCTTTAGGGGCCAGGCCAGGCCTCCCCCATCAGACTGGGGGCCCTTGAAGGTTGGTCCATGCCTCATCCATCAGACTGGGAACCCTGAAGGCAGGCTCATGTCTCCTCCATTTGACTGGGACCCAGGAAGTCAGGGCCGTATCTTTCCCATTAGACTGGGAGCCCTTGAAGTTTGGACCATGCCTCCCCCTTCAGACTGGGGAGCCTTGGAGGCACGTTCATGTCTCCTCTGTCAGACTGGGACACTGGAAGTCAAGGCCATGTCTCCTCCATTAAAGGAGAGCCCATGAAAGCAAGCACGTATTTCTTCCATCAGACGCCTCCCCCAGCAGACTGGGGACTCCTGAAGATAGGCTCATGTCTCAACTCCATCAGATTGGGGGCTCCGAAAGTGAGGGTCATGTCTCTCCTATGAAACTGGAAGCCCCTGAAGTCAGAGCTGCGACTCCGCCATCAGACTGGGTGCTTCAGAGGGCAGGATTATGCCTTCCCCACCAGACTAGGAGCCTATTAAGGCATGCACGTATCTCCTGCCTCAGCCTGGGGGTTTCTGAGGGCAAGACCATGCCTCTGCCATCAGACTGTGAATTAAGAAGGGCAGAGCTGTGTCTAGGGGCTTCTGAGGGCAAAGGTGGTCTCCCCTATCAGACTAGGAGCACCTAAGGCAGGGCCACGTCTCTCCCATCAGATGAGGGGTTTTTAGGCCCCATCGTAGGCCGTCATCTATCCCCGGCTGGTCCCATCTGCCCTGGTGTATTGGCTCCCGCACCCCCTCCAGAGTCAGAGCTGCTGCTCCAGGAGACAGGGGCAAGGGGACAGAGAGAGCAGGCACAGCCCCCAGCCAGGGCCCCCATCCCGCTCCTTCCTGAGGTCCTGTCCACCCTAAGCATATATCGAGCACCTACTGTGTGCCACACAATGGAATATTACTATAAAAAGGAACGAGGCTCTGACACACGCTACCACGTGGATGGACTTTGAACACATCACGCTCAGTGACAGATGCCAGACATAAAAGGCCACACAGTATGTGTCTCCATTTATATGAAATGTCCAGAACAGGCCAATCCACAGAGACAGAAAGTGGACTCGTGGTTGCCGGAGATTGGGAGTTTGGGTCCGAGATTTCTTTTGGGGATGATAAAAATGTTCTGGAATTAGTGGTGATGGTCGCACAATCTTGTAAACATAACAACAGACAGGCCAATCCACAGAGACAGAAAGTGGACTCGTGGTTGCCGGAGATTGGGAGTTTGGGTCTGAGATTTCTTTTGGGGATGATAAAAATGTTCTGGAATTAGTGGTGATGGTCGCACAATCTTGTAAACATAACAACAGCAACAAAAAACCCCACTGAATTGCACGTACACTGTAAGTGGGTGAATTATAGGGTGAGGGAATTATATCTCAAGAAACCAAACAAAGCACAAAAGCACCCAAAACAGTGCCTGGCAGTAAGTGCTCAGCAGGGGTCACCTGTCATTCCCCATTTCCCAGGTGAGAAAACTGTCCAGGTCACTCCCCAAGGTCAGGTGGGCTGGAATTCCCGAGCCCCGGCTCTGGAGAACCACAGTACTCCGAGCCCCACACACCCTGCAGGAGCCCTCAGTAAACTGCCTCTCAGACCACGAGTGCTGGGGGAAGGGAGGCCCCCGCCGCGCAGGACCCCCAGACCCCTCCACATCCTTGCCTGTAGCCACACAGCGCCCCCCTGCGGGCAACCCTCCCAGGGCCCAAGCCCAAGAGGTCATGTGGCTGATTCAAGGTCACAAGGTGACTCCCAGCCTGGCTCTGTCATCTGCCTCTTTCTGCACCCCCCACCTCCTCCTCGTTCCTCTCCTGGGGGTGGGGGTGGGGCAGCCCCAGGAGCAGCCAGCTCAAAAGCCCAGGAAAGTCAAATGCCGTTTGATTCTGCCTCCAGGGCGTCTAATTGCTATTCCTGACACAGACTGTAATTAGAAGGCTCCTTTCAAATATTTATACCTCAGACACCGAGTATTTATCCGACAGGGAGAGGACTCGGATTTGATGAGATCTGTCAACAGCTCATCCCCGAGCCAGGAATTGCCTTGCGGCTGACAGAAAACAGGACAATTACCCACGGTGCTCCCTGGCGGTCCCCAGGGACGCTGCCTTGCTGATCGGAGAGGGTAGGGTGGAAGACGGGGCTGCGGACTGCGTGAATGAGCCTCAGGAGGGAGGCCCAAGTTCAACAGGTCTCTGTTGGGGGACACAGCAGATGGGAACGGGAGGGAACAGAAGGGTCGAGGCCCCTGCTGCCATCAGGGGCTTTATCTTAATGGTTCTATGCCTCAGTTTCCCCATCTGGAGAGTGGGGCTAAGAGTGGAGGGAACAGGGAGGATCCCTGATTCCATGAAGAGATTCCAGTGGGTGGGTCTCCAGTGTCACCCCACAGCAGGCCACACGATGGTGTCCAGGCAGAAATGAGCTGCTGAGCAGCTTTGAGTGAGGCCCTCCCTTCTCTGTGTCTCAGTTTCCCCATCTGTAAAATGGGGAGGCTGGGTGATCACTTGCTCCCTTTGGGTGATCCTTGCTTGAGCTCTCTGGGTTTTCCTATTAGAAGCCTCCTTTTTCTAATGAGGAAACCAAGGCACCAAAGCACAGCAGACCCTGTCCCTGGTCCAGTAGTTCTGCCAGTCGCAGCGTGTCAGCTTTTACTTCTGTCTGGTCTTCCCTCCCCTCCAAGCCAGAGGCACCCTGGGGGAGCCAGAAGAGAATCTGGGGTCCCATTCTTCCTGATCACCCCTCTTTTTTTGCAGTCATTAAGGGAAACTGAGCAAGCCTCCTTTGGGGGAAAGAAAAAAAGGTTTTGCTCTAAAATCGACCAGCAATCCCCTTGTCCTCTCTCATCTCCCAAACTTCCTAGTGTCCTTGCCCCCAGACAGCTGCAGCTGCCAACAGGCAGCCAGGACAGGCGACACCCCTTTCACTCAGTCCCCCTTCCCACCCCCCACCCCTTGAAGCCACAAAGGGACAGATGCTGAGGCCACACGCCAGGCACAGATACCATCTCCCTTCCCCTGGACAGCTGCCCCAACCCTTTCCCCCCATCCTACAATTAGTCCCCCGGGGAGGGGACACAGAGACGAGCCCTCTTGGGGGAGGGGAAGCCAGATCGCAGTCCCTTCCGTCGCCTCCCCCTTCCTTCGGCTGCGTCAGTCAGTTTTAGCCGGTGACCTCTGCAACAATGTCCACGCCCCCCAACCTCCTGGTCAGTTTCACCGCCAGATACCGGTTCGGTTTCAACCCTCGGCAGTGGCCACTCGCCCCCTCCGCTGGACGCCTTCCCCCCTTCTCGCGGTCAAGTGCAGCCCCCAGTCTCCCCCTCCCCTGCCTGCCCCGCACCTCTCGCTCTCCCGAGCCACCTCGGTGCCAGCTGACTGCCCACCTGCCGCCCTCCCCGCATCCCCCGCCCCTCCCTGCCCAGAACAGCTGAAGGTCT